ATCAAATTCTCATGATATATATCCATCTATTCTTATCAAAATAAATATATTTAACTTCAAAAGTATAGAAGCTCCATCAGATCTTTTTAGCTGGATAACAAAATGATTCTACCTTCTATCCTATAGCTAAATAAGATATTCAATGTTGACAAATAGAAATAAATATTGTTCAACTTCCCTGCATGGCTGCAGAAAGCATCAGAATTCAAAAGGCCTAAAAACCAACTATCAAATAATGTTTTCTTCTAGTTCTCTGTCTGGATTGTTTCGCCAATTAACAAACCAAATTTGAATCAGCCTTTGTTACTTCTAAAATTCTTGACCTATATCAAAACCAAAGGGCCAGAGATACCAAATCGTACGTCAAAGTAACTTCAGAAGGCTGCAACACTCAACTTAAGTTTCAGTTTCCACAATATCAATTCCACTACATTCCTCCTAGAAATTCACAGAACTAACTTCTCCAAGAACTAGAAGACGACCCCTCAACTTCCCACAATGAATCATAAAACCTCACATATCGTCAATTCCAATAACTGTATTCGGCCAATAGAATACATAACACATTTTTAGATGTCTTAAAACTTCTCTAGAATTTATGCATCACCCAAACTCAATAACTCAAAAATCTTTAATCCCCACTACTTGGGGTAGATAATGTGCATGTTTTTTTTCATATACCACTTCTAGTCATGGTTATAAGAATCCGAATCCAGATCACAGGTATCTACCACCAACACCACTATCATATTCTATACATATCACTATCTACCACCAACACCACTATCATATTCTATACATATCACTATCTACCACCAACACCACTATCATATTCTATACATATCACTATCTACCACCAACACCACTATCATATTCTATACATATCACTATCTACCACCAACACCACTATCATATTCTATACATATCACTATCTACCACCAACACCACTATCATATTCTATACATATCACTATCTACCACCAACACCACTATCATATTCTATACATATCACTATCTACCACCAACACCACTATCATATTCTATACATATCACTATCTACCACCAACACCACTATCATATTCTATACATATCACTATCTACCACCAACACCACTATCATATTCTATACATATCACTATCTACCACCAACACCACTATCATATTCTATACATATCACTATCTACCACCAACACCACTATCATATTCTATACATATCACTATCTACCACCAACACCACTATCATATTCTATACATATCACTATCTACCACCAACACCACTATCATATTCTATACATATCACTATCTACCACCAACACCACTATCATATTCTATACATATCACTATCTACCACCAACACCACTATCATATTCTATACATATCACTATCTACCACCAACACCACTATCATATTCTATACATATCACTATCTACCACCAACACCACTATCATATTCTATACATATCACTATCTACCACCAACACCACTATCATATTCTATACATATCACTATCTACCACCAACACCACTATCATATTCTATACATATCACTATCTACCACCAACACCACTATCATATTCTATACATATCACTATCTACCACCAACACCACTATCATATTCTATACATATCACTATCTACCACCAACACCACTATCATATTCTATACATATCACTATCTACCACCAACACCACTATCATATTCTATACATATCACTATCTACCACCAACACCACTATCATATTCTATACATATCACTATCTACCACCAACACCACTATCATATTCTATACATATCACTATCTACCACCAACACCACTATCATATTCTATACATATCACTATCTACCACCAACACCACTATCATATTCTATACATATCACTATCTACCACCAACACCACTATCATATTCTATACATATCACTATCTACCACCAACACCACTATCATATTCTATACATATCACTATCTACCACCAACACCACTATCATATTCTATACATATCACTATCTACCACCAACACCACTATCATATTCTATACATATCACTATCTACCACCAACACCACTATCATATTCTATACATATCACTATCTACCACCAACACCACTATCATATTCTATACATGCCACTATCTACCACCAACACCACTATCATATGCCACTATCTTATTATATGCATTAACACAAATTTCCAGCACTATCACTCCAGCCAGACAGGACAGTTAGAAGTGGAAGAATAGATATGAGTTCTTCTCTGTAATACCTTACTTCTCATTGATTTCTGGAGGATCTAGAGAACATTTGCCATCAATTTGGAAGACAGGAGCTCCTTCAAAGGTGGCTTTTAGCAGCCTTGAATTATATCTCAACGGTGGACAATCTGATAAAGCGGGGATATAAAATGACCAATAGGTGCTGCTGTTGCTGAATGTACTGTATAGCGGAAGAGATAGGGGATTATCTTCTCATACACTGTCCTGTGGCAAATGAGCTTCGGGATTCACCTTTTCCACCTTTAGGGTGCCAAGCTCGATCAAGGAGGTGATGGAATGTTGGGGTAGTGGATGCAGTTGGGAGTCCAAAAAGAAAACTTGGATGGTGGCCCCGCTCTGTATAATGTGAAGCTTGGAGAGAGGGAAATAGATGCATTTTTTAGGAGACAATTCTTGGGATCTAGAAGCTCAAGATGGGTCCTTTACATACATACATTTTATTTTTGGAATCAAGGATTATTCTGTGAATCCTCTCTCCTTTAGATTTCATTTCTGAACTCAATTTTTTTGTTGAGCATTGGTTTGGGATGTTCTAAATAAGTACACTTTTTGATTTTTTATAATAAAAAAAAATGTGTAGAAAAGTAGAGAAAGTAGGTAAAAAAGTAAAGAGGAGATGTTGATTGATGTGACTCAAATAAGTGTATGTATGCAAAACAAGTGCACTTTTTTAGTGCATGCCAAACACCTACTTATTTTGTATTGATACCATTTTTCTGTAATTGTCCCTTTTTATTCAAGTAATACAATTTTGTCTTTATTTTTATTTTAAATCTATTAATTAGTGGTTTTTTTTATATGTATTACAGTATTTTATAGGTGTGGGGTATTTTGGTGATTTGTAGAATTTCTGGAATGGGTTGTACAAGGTCACCCATGGGTCATCATGTGGGTCAAGTTATGTAATTGAGTTTTTATTCACGGGTCGTACATAGTTTTAGATAGATTTCCAAGTCAAAAGTTTTAGTTTCCAAAATAGGAAGTCCAAGTTCTTTTAGAATCAGGAGTTCTAGTCTATATAAATTCATCCAACTTATTGATAGAGAATATGTTTTAGAGATTTTCCAAAACTTTTGACGCCTTTTTGGGATTGTATGATGCAATTCTAACTCTAGGTGTGCTGCTTAAACTGTCTCCTTCCTTCTTAATTTTCTATGTATTTTTTGGCCAGTAAAAACTCTAGAACTAGATCTGTTTCAAGCCTTTCCCAATCCTAGAAATCCTATTTCATAACCCCAATAACTTAACATCCACAACTGCTCAACCCTAGTACCTTACAGAACACAACATCCCAAGTTTCAGAGGTTCACAGTGCCCACAAAATTCCTGAATAATACCCAAGACCTCATCTTTTCATGCTCAAACCCATACCCTTTCATTATCCATCAAACCATAAGAGTCTATACATATTTACCACCTTTTTAGCCACGTCAACTAGCAATTTCAGCCCTCCACTGCTGCATCATATTTTATTTTTGAGCTCATCGTTCACTGCTTAGTAGGAGAGTATCTCCACACTTTTTCTACATCATTAATGTATTATCTAACAGGGAGAAACAGAAACACACTTTTTCCTTTTATTCTATTTTGTTTTTTGGTTGGTTTTTGCAAAACAAATAGTTTATGAATATATATACTTGAAACTTGTGTCCTATATCACTGAATGATTTTAAAATTGAATCACTCCGATGTGTCTCATAGTTATATGAAGGATAAGTTACAGAAATAGATCTTCTATGGAGTTGTAGTATGCAGGCATGCTAATCATTGAAGGACAAATACAAACTCATGTTACAGATGACTCAGGTTCAGGGTGGGCAACATTATCCAATGCCCAATCAAAAGAAAAATCAGTCAAATAATGTGAACCAAATCCAAAGAGAGTGGTTAATGGGCATCATCTCAAGATGTTCCATCTGATACACATAGTAAACAACACAATTTTTATCAAAGAATTTATAAAAAGTTAAAAAAAAAAAAACAAATAACAAAGAGAAAGTTTTCTACCCAAAAGTGAGAAGGGAAAAAAAAAAAGTAATATAATGAAGAAATCAACTATTTCTGATGCTTCTAAAATCACCCAGCATGCTACTCAGCATAATCTGTGAGCTTCTGTAAGACCAAAGCAAACACTGATTCTGATGCTAAAAAAATTGAAGTGGGAAATGATTTTATATATACCTTGAGCAACATCCCAGATCGTGAATGACGAGCTCTCATACGAGCCAGATGCCAAATATGTAAAAAGAGGTCAAGAAAATCACAGATTCAACCATTAATAGAATACAGAAAATGAAAGCATAGAAAAATATGGTTCATTTAGAAGTGAGAATAAATCCTCATTGTTGTATATTGTCAATTATAAAGTATATCTATGTATTTTCTTTTGCTAAAAATAAAAATAAATAAAGAAAATAAAAATAAAAATAAAAACTATCCAAATGTCAATCAACAGGGAAGGAAATTACATGATGTATCTTTCAGCACCCTACACACAGAGGAACAACCACAAAGGCCCAGTGCATGGCAAAGACAACAAAAACATCAAGGGAATCCAAAGTTTCATTACAGGACTAATGAAACTTAATCGATGAAAAAGGACTAATGGCATGCAAAAGCTGTGAGGAAAGTGATAATTATATCTCAAATTTAGTAAGTCATGTTCCTAGTACTAGATAATATGATAAAGCATAGTAAAGTTATAGAAATGAATGCCAAATGGAAACTAGTTAGGATATCTTCCATCTGGACTCCAAGAAAGTGCACTAATTTGTTCATCATCGTGACTTCGAAGAAAATCCACTAGAGTCCATCGAGTTCCAGCACCCCTAGCAATAGTGCCAGAGGTAACTCCAGATCTCACAGATGCCGCATTGGCAGGATAAGAAGCAGTCCATATACAAATTCTACCCCTGCTCAATTCAGTTATTGAAAAGATACCCAATAAGAAATAACATAGTTGTTGGTAAATCTTCTTAAAATCATAATACACAAAACATTGAGCTAATTGTACAATAAGAATACAGAAATGTCGTGATACTTGCTTGCATGCTACAGAAAGTGTCCTCCCACCATTTGGCCTCCACTCAAGAAGCTTAACATCTCTTTGGGATTCATGGGTCAAAATGCATGGTTCCTTCCGTTCTGTTAAAAATATAAAGGTTCAATTCACTAGAATCAAAAATTATATTGAACAGACATCTAAAGGATGATGAATGAAATGCTCTTTGACAATGCAAATGGCGAAGAAAGAAGCAAGTATACCCTCATATCAGTGAAAGAAAATTACTGACCTGAATCCTCATAATCACGAATTGTAACATGATTTGGCCCAGAAATGAATGCTAAAATATGCTTATGTCGATGCCAATTCACTCCATGAAGATCAACCTCTGGCAACAATTTTACCTGCAAAATTTATAACCCAAGAAAAAGAAAAAGAAAAGGGTAAGGCCTCGGACCACTTTTTTTTTTTTCTTTTTCCTGTTTTCCTTGTCAGGCAAGTAACCACGTCCTCTAGACTTGCTCTTATTCAAATGATCCAACCATCTATTTTTTTTCCTATATTTATGCAACTCCTGTTCTTAAAACTTATACATTTCAGGAACATTATCAAGACAGTTCATGATGAGCGTTGTAGTCATGTCTAAGTTACAAGCTTGCTTACACATTGTAAAGCAGTCCACAAGAAGAGCAAATAACACAAAAATTAAGGAAGCACTAGAATTCATTATTTTCAAGCCAAACTCATTGGAAACATGCACAATAAACCTTTTAGGGTTAATAGAATAATATTAGAATAATATGATCATTTATGGTAGGTGATCTAAACCGAAATGTTACACTTCGAGTCTCCCTAGCTTATGTTTTTAGTCTTTTAGCTTATGATATTTGATACAATAAAATGTTTTTCTTCCTCTTCAAGTTAATATCACTCCGGAAAAGGGGCAAAAGGGGCAAAAGGGGCAAGAACTATGGAGCTTTGAAGCTTGAAATAGAGAGATAGAGAGGGGTGTATGTATATGCCTTAACCAAATTTTTTTCAACCTTTGCCAATGAGGGAGAGGGTCTCTCTTATAGAAGAACAAAGGTCCAAGCTTCCTCCAGAAGTTTGTGAAAAGGTCCAAGCTTCTTGAGGAAGCTAGAGCCAATGGGTCAAGCTTCTTCAAGAAGCTAAAAAGGGTTCAAGCTTCTCTTGGAAGCTTAGAGCAAAAGGCCAAGCTTCTTTAAGAAGCCAAAACAAGGTTGCCAATCCTCCATACAAGTGTATAGAGGATGCAGTCTGTGCCCTCCAGCTGGCACACACTCACAGAGACAGAAAAAAGGGAAGTTGGCCGACCAGTTCAGGTGGTCGGCCAACCACTTGCCCTGGTCGGCCGACTAGGTTCAAAAGGGTCAAGTGGTGAAAGCTGGTCGGCAGCCTCATTTGGTGGTCTCCGCCTTGAATGCAAGCTAGTGGTGGTATGGGAGACTAGTAAATGTGGCTCAAAAGTGAGGGAGACCAGTTACCTGACAAGAAAATCGGTCGGCGGGAAAAAAGTGGTCTCCAAGGAGCAAAGGTGGTCTTCCACCCTTGTACCACCTTTCAAACAATGAAAACAGGGTCCATGCCAAAAATAAACCAAGACGAATGGAAAACGAGGGTTCGGGGGCCAAAACATGCAGCCAGGTGCCCCGAAAACTGACTGTTAAGCATCGAAAGTGGCGTGCGACCATGAAGGTGGTCTCCCGGGCCACAGTGTCCCTTCAGAGAGAGGAAACAAGGTGTGTGCCAAAAACCGGAGCAAACGGAGAAAGTTAAGCGGTCCCGAATCGAGGCGCACGGCCGACAGCTCCAAAAATTAAAAACTGGTCTCCAAACGGGAACAGTGGTCTACAACCACGAAAAGTAGCCTACGGCCATTGAGAGATGGTCTACGAGACCTCTCCCTCCCTTCAGGAAGAGAAAACAGAACCTGGTTCACAAACCGAGGCAAAGCATGAAAGAGTCCTGAAGTCCGGAGGCCAGGCTCTCAGCCGAGACTCTGTAACCTCAGAACGAGCACAACATGCGCAATCACCGAGCGCTCAATTGATGACGTCTGAGTCTTAAGGCCGGTCAAAAATGGGGTGTATACACTCCGTAGCCAACCCGAAGCCCAACCAGGGTCCAAACCACCCCGACAAAGCCAAAAACACCTGGGACAATTCCGTATCCCATCCAAGAGAAATAAAATAGATCAACCCCAGACTCGGGCCACTACATGAAGTGATGTACATTCCTTTATGGAGGTATTAATAAGTTCACTTACATTGCTTGCTAACAAATTGCGTGAGCTACATGCCTTTGTGCTATGCATCTATGTGTGTGTGTGTGTGTGTGTGTGTACAGTTAGCAACTATTTTCTGTTGACTTGTTATAGCTTTAGAATTCAATATGCTTTTGTTGCATTTATGTATTATTCAATAGCTAAAGACCCACTAACCTCTTAAGGGAGATCACTTCAAACTCTAAAGCGACATGATTATCTTATTTCTTTTTGGATTGGGAACTATCACTTGGATAAAATGGTAAACTTTTCTGTGGCTATGTTATGCATATATTTTTGTAGGTTGTATTGGGCTAGATAGAGCTGAATAATACAGATACAAAAACTTGATAAGGTACTATTTTATTTCATATTCTATTATGGAGCACAGTGTTGTACCAAAATAAGAGAGGATATCTCATTGAATGTAAGTGTTGTTAGTAACATGTCCTATACATGTTCAACATAGATAAGCAAATTTATCCCAGGGTTGTTTGGGGTTCTTATGTGGTCTCATTGAAAGTGGGGTCAAGGGGTTACTTATAATAAAAAACAAATAAAATAAAAAAAGAGAAGACAAATTTATCACAATCAAGTGTGGATTTAACCCATGGCTTTGTGCCAAAGTGTATGCTCTCCAACCCCAATAGTGGAGGTTGGGAGTTCGAGGGGGTGATCCCCTTTCCCCTTGGATTAGGCTAGTGTAGGTTCTAACGAGTAGAAAAGAAAGAACAAAAATGAAAAATGAAAAAAATGTGGATCTAAGCCATTATAAAAAAGAAATATTTGGAAAATAGTTGTGAGGATACAATATGTATCATGTTTTATGATGGAGAATTATGGTGACTAAATTTTTCAATGTGGTGAAGTTTTGTTTGAACTGGTGGTCTATGGTCTAAAAGAGTTGCTTATGTTTGACTAGGCTATTTGTTTACAAGGTGTACGTGGTGTATGTTGAGATTCACAAGGCTACTACTGAACATTCATTGTTTCTAAATTATGCTCAATTTTCAAGGAGGTGTTTTGGTTGCTTCATTTGGAATTGGTTCAAGTTAAAATATGTATAGTTTTCAATTACTCAACCAAGTTGCGGAATTGGGAATGGATGTAGGCATGAATTACGATGCTAAAGGTTAGATACAATAATGATCTCATTACATTTCCCGATGTAGGTTGCTCAAAGGATTGGAGTCTAGGTTTGAATAGGAGGACGATTATGCCTTTGCAACAACTTGACGAGTGCTTTCTTTCATTGTATATATAGGGAGGTTTCTCACCTTCTAACCAGTCATATATATTCTACTCTTCTATAACCAAACACACATTAATGTGTACTAATTGGGCGTTATTTTTTTTCTTATGATCTGTATGAGAGAGATTAGAGATGAGGGAACACAGTTCTTTTAACTGTAGAATAAACGACAATAAAAGAACATTTGAAGTTTTTTTTTTGTTTTTCGTTTGAAAATCATTTTATTGTTCTATGTCAAAATGCTATTCTCTCTTTCTCTCTATATATATACCAATAGTCTATATACATGTGCAATTCAAAAAAATAATAATATAAGAATAATGACAAATAAGAATGCACTCAAATTATGTATTGCTTAAGTGGTAAGAGTTTTCTTTACCAAACTTATGATCTTAGTTTCAAGTCCTGTTACTCACTTAACATTAATTTTACACAAAAACCAACTATAGGAGGTATTTTAGGAAAACTTGAAATACGAGACATTTTGTGACAACACCATCTTATTAAGGCTTCACATATATAAATAAATAAATAAATGAAAGTTTCTTTCTCGTAAAATAGCTTTAATTAGATAGATAATTAATGTTCACATCAGTATCTCAAAGCCTTCCATCGCCCCTAAGGGCCTCAATAGCCCACAAATGAGGGGTGGTGTCCTACTTGTAACAACCTATCCAACCCAAACCAAACCAAACTTGGCAAACTTGTCGGCCATTGTTTAGGCTAAAATAACGGTCACAAATTCAAAACATCTACAATGAGGACTTCTAAATCTTGATGAACGCCATCTTGATGAGATGTTGGGCGTCTCCATCAAACATGATTGTTTGGATTTGGGAATCTTTGGCTAAGAGGACTGCCTGTTGAAGCGCCAAACCTTCAACCATTTGAGTTGATACGGTTCTCTATTCGCAACTATCAAGCTTTAACAAGCTTGCCAACACAAACTCCTACCCCTTTCTTTTTTGACATTGCAACCATGCTGCATCAAAATTCACCTTCACCCGTCTATCCTCTTGGGCTTTGCATCTACTATTTAGCTCAGCTTCACCCTTCACCCTTTTCCCCCAACTTTGTTTTTAGCCTCCACTTGAGCCTGCAAAAATTCATTGGCCCTAGCTATGTCATGTTGCATAACTTGTATAGGATCGCATTGTTTATTCTGAAATATACATTCATCTCTACCCCCTTCAAATTTGTGATGACCGGGTCTTTCTTTTCTTCCTTCTCTTCTCCTTTCTTTCTTTCTTCGCCCCATCTTTCTTTTATTTTTCGTTGGGCTTGAAACGTTTGGAAATTGTTCTTAAAATAGAATCCTTATTCTTGTGGTGTTCGATGTTGGATCTCACTTGTTCCGGGAAGTGCGGGGTTAGGTCCGGAGTGCCCAGGAGCGAAGCGAAAAATTTTATGGGCTGCTGGGCCAGAGCCGCATGTGCGGGGGCCCAGGGCCCCATGTGCGGGGTTGGGCCACACGTGTAGGAGGACAAGTCGCACGTGCCGGAAGAGGGGCGCTCGGTGAGTTACATTCTACTTAAAAGGCACGAACGGGGAGAGGTGCGCGAGGACCACCGCACGTGCAGGAGTGAGGGCCGCACATGCGAGAAGGGGGCTCCGCACGTGTGGGGTTGGGTGCCGCACATGCGGCACTCTGGGCATCTGAAAACTCTGTTTTTTTTATCTCATTTTGGCCGAAAATATCTCACTTTCTGACCCTTCCCTCTCACTCTAAAAGCCATTTTTGCTCCTCCTTCTCTCTAGAAAACCTTCCCAAACATTAAAACTCTTTGATTTTTTTGCAATCCATTGGATTTGGATCATCATCACCTCTCACTAATCTTGAAGATCAAGAAACTAAAGTTTCACTTGGTGTGGCGGGAGTCAAGGGTC